AGCACTTGCTGTTGTGTTAAAATTTCCTAGTTACATGCTGAAATTCTGTATCCATCATGAGCGTTTTACCATACAATGTCTGATGGATAGGACACTGATTTTACTGATCCCTCTGCCCTGGAGAGTAGGCTAAGTAGCGGGTGCAGCTGATTCTTCGCATGCTTTGCTGGAGGGCAGCACTAATGAGAAACTCCTAATGTGAAAAAAAGGGCTTATAACTGGAGGGGGAATCCAATGAATATTTAAAAAGGAAGATTCAGCTCAGCTGTTCCCATAGGGAGTTTGCTGACCAGCTTTTTTTCTTTTTGATATCGCTGCAGATCAGCAGTTCACCTTCTATATTACAGACCTTTCTTCTAAAGCTTTCCAGCTCTTCTTTCCAATGACTAACAGTACATTTGTGCTATAGGTGGGCAAACACATGCTGAATTTGTGAGACCAGAGACTAAATATTTACTGTTAGCGAGACAGTATTTGTCTACGATTCACAAGTGTAATAAAGTCAACATAATTTAACAAACAAGTAATCAGAGGAAATATGTTTCAATATTGTGTTTCATTGACAGTCTTATATGCAGTGTGATATCTTTTAGAGTCAAATAATAATCTTCAATCTCTACGAAAACATAACATTCTTATAATAGAAAGAAATTTCTGTAGGACTGTATATCAATAGATTATATATTTTTGTATCCTGCCTTCTAAAGCTGCCCTATTCAGAGATGTGACTGAAGAAAGCATCAAAGAACATGGTCTGCACCACCCCATGGCAACATAGGAAATATGTTTTCTTTTAGGTTAGTGAGATCTAATAACTTCTGTGATTAACAGGAATGTTGATTGAAATCAGATAGCTCATTAATTTAATTTAGTGACAGAGTATAGGCAGTACCTTTTGAATACACAGTTAAAAAGAAGGAAAATATCAAAGATTATTCTTTGAGAAATATTGATAAACAACTGACCTTTATGTACTACAAATGAAATTCAAGCTACACATAATCTATCTTTGTTATTGTAAAAGCTTTGTAATCAGAAAAATTGCAATTAGGTATAATATTTTTAAATTAACTGAAATAACTAATAACGAACAAAGGAAAGAAAAAATGCAAAAAAATCACTAATAAAAAAGCCTTATTGGAGGTGAGGTAATCCTCAATTTCATGTGTTTTGTCTATAGAATACACAAGCATTTTTTCTTCTATTACACAGGTTTATCTGAGAAAAAAACAAAGGCAGAGCAAATTTAGTGCATGAGAAATGAAATGTAAAGCAATACCTGAAAAAGAGTTAAGCAATATGTACTAGGTTATCTTATTGCTTGTATTGTAGTAACCTAATTTATTTCTGTCCATCCCATTGTTTAAGTATAGGTATAAATTAAGCACAATTGAAGAATTATATAATGTCAGTGAACATTACCTACGTTTCATGTTTGTATCTGTTGATACTGCAGCATTCCAGATAGCAATTTGTGGATTAGTCTTTGGACTGCCAGCCCCAAAGAGGTGTTTTCTAGCTGTTATCAGCATTGTTTATTTGTGACACGTTCTGTTCATGCAGCCTTTCATGTTAGTGCTTAAAAGACACGCATTCACATGCTTGAAAGCACAGCTATGTTTAAATATTTATAGAATGAGAGGAATTTCTAAAATCTGCCTCTAGAAGGCTTTTAGAGGGAATTTGCATGTTAAAGTACACACGCTGCAGGTACAAGTAACTTTTAAACTCCTTAAACAATTTATAGTTATAGAACTGCTCAGCTTTGAAGAGTTCTCCAACATGGTCCAACTTTTTGTGGGAAAGGGAGCGAGGATGAGATTATTTAGCATCCTGTCCAATCACATCTTGAAAACCTCTGGTGATGAGGACTCTACCACATCCATGGGGAGTTTGTTTCAATGACTGATTGTTCCTAGTGTAAAAAAATTTCTTCCTCTATTGAAATGAAACCTCTCCCAGTGCGACTTGTACCCGCTGCCCCTTTTCTTCCCTCTACTCTGCTCTTGTGAGACCCCACCTGGAGTACTGCATCCAGCTCTCAGCACAGGAAGCACATAGACTTGTTGAAGCAAGTCCAGAGGAGGGCCACAAAGATGATTAGAGGGATGAAACACACCTCCCATGAGGAAAGGTTGAGATAACAGGGATTGTTCAGTCTGTAGAAGAGAAGGCCCTGGGGTCACCTGGTAGCTTATGACAGATCTGGAGAGGGACTTTTTACAAGAGCATGTAGTGATAGAACAAGGGGCAATAGCTTTAAACTAAACAAACTGAAAGAGTGCAGGTTTACATCAGACACTAGGAAGAAATTCTTCCCTTTGAGGGTGGTGAGGAACTGGAACAGGTTGCCCAGAGAACCTGTGGATCCCTGGAAGTGTTCAAGGCCAGGTTGGATGGGGCTTTGAGCAGCCTGGTCTAGTGAAAACTGTCTTTGCTCATGGCAGGGGATTTGGAACTGGATGAACTTCAAGATCACTTCCAACCCACACCATTCTATCATTTTGTGATTCTATGATTCTCCATGTGACTTCCATTAAAGAAAGAGCCTCCATCTTCTTTGTAACCACACTTTAAGTAGTAGAAAACTGTGGTGAGGTCAGAAAACAGTGAGTTAAACTCACCTGTTCAATGCTAGATTGGGAGGGAATGAGATGGAGTCATTCAAACCATCAGGGATAGCTGTGAGCAGTGTAAGGAGTACCTGACCCTTTACTGTTTGGTACCACCTTCCCTCTGTCTTCAGCAGAGATGATAGGTACAGTGTGTGCCAGTGCAGCTGCTGAAGAGCAGACATGCAGCAAGTGCAGGCATGATGACATCAGTGTGGATTGAGAGAGTAGGTGTTGAGCTGTGTCCACATCTCATAGGTTACACTGAAGAGTGCACTTCCCTCAGATGTGTGCTAGGGCTGTGCTGGCAAAGTGCAAAAATCTGCAGTGCATGAGAAATGTGCAGTGAATGTTATCCATGCAGCAGTGACCATCTGTGCTGGCTAGATGAGCGTCCTTCCTCCCTCCAGTAACAGAAGGCTGTGTGCCACCCTGCCCACACCGTGTGCCAGGATTTAGTGCGTATGCCTGGTACTCCTGCCACCAGCCCTCCCTACCCCAGGAGCTGACTTCTCTCAGCTGCACGACTTCTGAAGTTGTTCTTGTGTATGTGATATGTTGCATATGCATGTCTTTGTGAAGCCTGGTTACCCAGTGTGAGCTGGGGTACACGCTGTGTTGTGCTACAGGCTCTGCAGGGGCAGAGCAGGCACCCTATGCAGCCAAAGGAGCTTGTCACAGTTCTTTCAGACCTTGTTGCTTTTTGTGCTTGGTTTGTGGAGGATGGCATTTTTAGGACTGCTGGAGAAAGTTTTCACTGTAAAGAGGCCTAACCATGACTTTTAGATGGTTAGCTCTCACTTTAAATGCAGAACCTGCTTTCAGCATGGAGCATTCCCATTTGTAATTTCCCTCTTCTGTTCTGCAGCTCTTTGGGACTGCTTGAGCCTCCCAAGAGCAGCATGGTCCCACTGCTGAACTGGTTATCTTCTGAAGGCTTTGCCTCTCACTCTCTGGAAAGTCTTTGAAATGCATGGGTTTCCACTGTGCACACTTGTTTTTCAAATGAATTTTCAGGGAAATTATCCTTAGTCCAAAAATTGACTTTTATATTTTTGCTGATCCCACAGATTTAATATTTATTACATAGGTATCTCACATGTAAAAAATAGTTTTCTAAGCAATAAAATTCTTGAAATCATACAAAAATGTTTCTCTCTTCAAATAACACATGGATGGGCAAAGAAGTTTAAAGGGATGTGATCTTTATTTGATAACAGTGTGATTAGTGGTAAATCATACTGAGAAAGCAAGTAACATGTAATAGGCCCAAAGGAAAGAAAAATCAAATTGCATTACTTAAAATCAAGGTCACAACATCTGAAGTAGTTTTCCAGAGTTATGGAAACAGTCTAGTCCTTTGGTTGTTCCAGAAATTTTCACTAGGAAGAAGATGTAATCATATAGCTCTGGTCCATGCTATTTCAATTGGCATTGAACAGTAGTGTATCCTGCACAATTTGTTAAATCCCATTATTAGTCCACAGATTTGCAACTCTTAATTAGCTGTATCCTTTTAGGAAGTCAAGCTTCTTTGGGTGTTTCTTACCTGGGATTTTTGTCTCCAGGTGACATACTGGTAGTTTCTAAAATATATTTTAATTTGAAAATCTCAAGGTCCCCTTACAAACATTCTGTGCATTTCTTTTTTTGTCACAGGTTCTCTGGGTTTAGTGCTGGATGTCTCAGGAAAAAAAACAACTAACCACAAATTAAAGATGATGTTTCACAACATTTCTTTGAGAAAGCTCATTCCAAGGGTCTGTTGGCAAGAAGATTGAGTTTCTTGCACTGCAGACAGTGGGTTTTGGGTTTTGGTTTGTTTTTTTCTCTTCAGAGGCATATGGAACTCTATTTTCACAGAATTAACAGTCCCTACAGGGGGCAGATTTTTCATAAGCATACTGCATGCAGAAAACCCCTGATTTATATGGCCAGATTTAATAAATCTGGTCAACCTGTGTGTTATGAACATTCCTACTATTTGGACTGAAGTGACTGAAGTAAAACATATGTCTAGACTGCAGGAAAACTGCCCTCAGTCTTTGTCTGTTAATCACCACAGGTGAGGACCAGATGGAGTGCTGTGGCTCTTTTTTAGCCCAGGTTTTCTTCCCATGGATTTGAAATATGCATCTGAACCAAAGTGCTTTTGAGCCTTATCATAGAGCAACAGCTCTCCCGAGTTTCTGGAATAGTTGTGAACTGTCTTATCCTCTGTCTGATGAATGACATAACCACTTCAATACGCTTTCTGTTTGTAGAAAGTGCTATTACAAACTAAATAACACTGCGTCCCTCACTTCCCTCTGCTGAAATCTATCCTATTATTTTAGGGCAAAGTATTTGTAGATTGATTTGTTGATTTTTTTCTCTCTTTCATGACAGCTTCTAGACTGCTTTGTCATCCCAGTGGTGATACTTCTCTCCTGGTTCTTCTTACTGGTACGATACAAGGCAGTACATTTCATTGGGATTGTGGTCTGCATTCTGGGCATGGGCTGCATGGCAGGAGCAGATGTCCTTGTTGGGAGACAGCAAGGAGCAGGTAAGTAAGGATGTATGGGTTGTGTGGCCAATTTCTGCCCAGAGAAACCATTGACCAAAATGTGTCAGACTGGGGTCAAAAAGAGAGGAAATTTTTCAAGAAACCCTGTGCCTTCACGTATCCAAAGCACTGCATCATTCGAAGTTGCCTCTGTCAGAAGGGAAAGAGAGCAAAAATGAGTCAACACTTACAAGTCAGCACTGCTGCAAACAGACTTTATGGGCCCTGCAACACAGGTCACCCTCTGGGCAAACTGGGGGGACAAGCTAAATATTTGTAGTTTCATTCTTTTTTGGCTTAGTTGTTTAACTGCAAACCTCAGTTGCTTCCTTTCCAAATTGGCTACATCTCTGAGTCATAAGCATCTCTCACATCCACTGCGTGCTCTTACTTCTCCTCAACTTTACTTGCTTTTTCCTGTAGAGGTGGGGTCACTGGGTAGGTACTAAAAGACACTGAACTTATATACTAGCAATTGCGTTTTGCACACAGTCTCAGAGTAAAGTTTAGGATTTGCCTGAATCTTTGTTGAAAAGAACTTTCTTGTGTGTAAAATGTTCTTTTTTTATGTGTGGCATCAAATGAATAATGTGTGTGTAGCTATAATGCAGACTAGACAGAGTTAGATTTCATCGATCAACTTCCCCTGTCACATTGATTTCTCTAGTGCCAACCCAAATGATGTGGGAAGGCTGGAAATTCTTTTCAAAGATTGTCAATTAGGCACAGTTTTCATTCTTAATTAAAAGCACTGAATTGTGAGCTGAGCATAATACACAGGGATTTAAAATTCTTGACTCAGCTTTCTGAATACAAATGCAAGTGCTGTAAGAACTGCATTTGCCAGGATGCTACTAAATAGAACAACAAAGTGTATGACAATACTCACTGCATCTCCCTGCCCCCTTTTATCCCTGCACTTTACTCTCAATGAAGACCTTTAATTCATTGGTGTCATCCAGAAGTAGTCCTGTCCCAGCTAAAAAGGAAAGAATGTTCTACTTAGTTGGCCAGCCAAAGCTGTATTGGGAATGACTGATATCAGAGGGTTTGAGATTTCAACCCTGTGTTCCAGAAGAAACATCCTGTGTCCCAGTAATCTAGAGAGTAACATGCTAGAGTGGATGAGTTGTGGATCCAGCAGGAGCATGTGGGGCAATGGACCTCAGCAGACAAGGAACAGATTGAAGAACACTGACACTTTGCCGTCCAGCTGCAATAATTAGATGTTATTTGCCATAATTCATTATTAAAGCTTGGGTATAGCTGTTAGGTAAATTTGTCCAGAAAAATCTGCTAACATGCATTATTGCCTTTTCATTTGGACTACACGTGGAAGACTGTGTCCATGCTTATTGCTGCACAGAGACCCTGCAGCTGTTTTTTTTTTTCATGGCAAAATGATGCTATTAATGATGTTATTTTTAACAGAGTAAAATAGATTGTCTGGTTTAATTTCTCTGAAAGGGTAAAACTACACATTAAAATTATACAAATAAAAAGAAACAGTGGTGGAAAAGAAGAAAATTATTGAAACTCTTCATTAGTGAGTTCTGCACCATTTATAGGATATTTCCTAGGACTGGGCAAACTAAAGAAAGGAAGAAACCAAAAGCAATGATGCTTTAGTAGTCCTCAGTAAACTTCTGTTTGTATTATAGAGAACGAGATCTATTGACACCTGTGTGCCCTTGTTGACCACACTACTTACTGTATTAGAAAAGCCATAAGGCTCTGCTAGGCACCTACTGCATAAGGCAATTTAGTCTACCAACTCTTACAGTAAGGGAACAAGAATTTCAAATGCATTACTGAGAGATTAACAGGTATTTTCCAAAATATCTGCAGGAATTAGGTATAATGTGCACACATGATCTCAATTTTCAATAAATATATGGTAGTTTACCTCTTTTTATTGTATCCTGGCTGATGTTTTGCGCATTACTCAATTGGAAAAGCAATTACTATCACATACTTAGTACTATCACATACCTTATGTGCCAAGTACACAATAAATTAACACTTTTCTGAACTAAAACTCATGGGTTACCTTGGTGCTTGTGCTCCTGTAGTACACAAGAGGTCTAAGCCACAGAGGTCCAAGTGTTTCCTCCAGGTTTTTCAAAGCACTTCACAGCTTTGGCTTACCACAATCTCTGAAAAACAGTCACATCAGCCCTATTAATATGTGTATGAGTGTATGTTCAGTCTAAAATGGGACTGGTTTTAATTTAAGACTGGTTTTAGATATTATAATCATCAGTAATTACAAACAAAAACAAAGAGAAACACCTCCTAATGACAAGGATTAAGGTAAACATGTGACAAAGAGACCTAGTGAGAGTGTGAAAAAAATTATGTCAGAACACAGTTAATATTTAAATTGTGTGTGTTACACCATAGTGCTATAACTGGTTCCCAAAACATTAAGTCCTCTCAACTATATGACTTCTTCCAGAGAACATTAAATATGCTACAATGATTAATGCAAAGCTTGTTTTATCAGGCTATTCCTTGTGTTTCTTCTGAAGAATGACTTACACCATTAATTTGGTCAAATACAACATATTTCCTTCGTAATGAAACCAGTAGATGCATGAGGAGTTTACCTCCATGAAAATATGTCTATAATGATATTTCAGTCTTGGGGGAAATTTCCAAAGTCTTGGCCTCTCAAGAAAGCAAAGAAAAGGCATTTGACAACCAGGAGAATAGTAATTGCTAAGAAAGAAAGCAATATTATAATTTACAACATTTTTATGCCAGTATGTAAAGTTTTGATGCACTACCTCTTGAGTACTACTCTAGTCACTGCATTTCAAAAAGAAATAAAAAGAAAATAAGCCTCTATAAGCAATGGAGAAAGGTGAGAAAGCCATTCAAGGGCATAAAATGGCTTCAGGATGGAGAGACTATAGGCAGACCAGGACTTTCCATCTCTCAGAAAAAGCAAGAAACAGACAGAATATGATAAAAGTATATGAAGTCTTCAGCAGTATGGAGAGGGTCAATACAGAGTAATTCTTAAATATTTCCTACAGTTATAAACTTATAGGATGACTAATGTAGTTTTGAGGTATCCAGCACCACCATTAAAAACATGAAGTACTTCTTAATAGTAGGCCAAAAATATATGGACTTTACACAAATAAAAGAAGAATCCCTCGAGATCTATTAAGTTTCATGGTCTAATGCATCTCAGAAAATGCCTGATCTACTGAGAACTGGTTGATAAAAGTCCCTCTGTGCTTCCCTGTTTATTTAAGCTCTCCTCAGCCCCTCTGTGCTGCGGAGTATACCAGAGGAGGTTCCAGTGCCAGAGACTAGTACTCTGAACAGACCTTGGCTCCCTCTTCTGGGAAAGCCCTGAAGGTTGAGGCTCACTCTCAGCATGAGTAAACTTTGGGGAGAGCCATCACAATGTGATGCTTGAGGCCGTCCCATCCATATGAAAATGCTCAACCTCTTAGCTGCCTCTGGTTCACAGATGCAAAAGGATGATATTTTTGTGCCAGCAGTTCACCACAACCAAGCCCTAAGGTCGAAAGCTTTTTCAGCAATACTTCCCTGAAGTGTCAGTGGGTAGCTGGAACAAATACCAAATGAGTGAGCTCAGTGAGGAATCATTGGAGCCATGTGAAATATGAAGCGCATCAGGTATGAAGAGGTTTTATAAAGTGCTGATGCTTGGTTTAAATTGAGAACATCTTCTGTGACTAATTGCAAAAGAAGGTTAAAAAGAAAAAAAAAAAAGCCAACCAAATCTTTAAAAGATAAATGGTCAATTCTAAGCATGCTGTCAGTCAAGGAACATGCAAAACAGAAATTAAGTAAGAGACTGAATGAGTATGTGAAAGAGAAATTTAGTAATGTTTGCTAAATACACAGAAGCCACATCTTAGCTGAAAAATGTTGGAGACTAAGAGAGTATTACTGGGAATATTTTAAACTTTACTCCATTTTTCTTTGTTCCTAAATAACTTATACTTTTCTGGTGCTTATAGACAGTGTTGGAGATAGGATACTGAATTAATGAACCCTTGGTCTCTCCTCATATGCACATCTTTATTGTAATAAATTTCAATAGAAATTTCAGCCCTGTAGTTTGGACTGAAAACAGGAGGCTTAAAAGAACTTCTTAAAAAAAAACATTGAAAAGATAATTTCTAACCTATCAAATTATTAGCTTCCAGTTTTATTTACTGCTCTGTGTATTTTACAAATCAACAATAATAAAACTTAAAAAGGCAGGAATATAAAAAAATAAATAAAGGTATTTTAAAAGAAATCAAGGTTTCTTTAAGAAAAATACAGTTAGTTTAGTACTGCAGCGTTTCTACTGAACTTTTTCAAAGAAAATTCCACTATGTCCAGGCTTTCAGAATATGGTTCAGCAGCAATATCTGACAGTTTTGTGAATCTGTAGCTCTTGTAGAAATCATTTAACAAGCCATATGTGCAGAGGGAATGGCATGCATCGGTTTGCAAAGCTAGGGCCTCAGTTTTCAAGCTGGAACTTGATCTTGATCAAATCTCCCTGCAGCTCTCTCCAACACCCAATAATAAAAGCTTCCAAGACTTTAAAAGATTTCAAACAGTCTTTGATAAAAAAATATTTTAGTAGCTCTATAAACCTGGAGGTCCTGAAAATACATCTTGGTGTTCATTGCATGCATTAGGTACTGCTATGTTAATTGAACCTCTTTTAAAAATCTCTCATTTTCATCACCCTGTCTACACCCCATCCTTCCTCCCCTCTTTCATGTCAAACAGCTTCATGTGAGAATGAGGTCAATATTGGGGTTGTAATGATTTCTTCACTCATTTCACAGGTACACAGAATTTTTCACTTGGCCTCACATCTAAGTGCTGGACATGTTTTGATCTGGTTAGATTTCAAGATGAGATGCAAACTGCTCTATAGAGCTGAGTCACATTCTATCTGAAAAAATAAAGAAATTATAATAAAGTAAAAAGGAATAGTCTCTGAAGAGTGCCACCTGGTATCTATATTTTTAGCAAATTTTTCAGGATATTTTTGATTCTTTTTTCTGCGTCAAGGAATATACTCTCCCTTTGCCTCTGCTAGATTTACTGGTGTATTCTATGAAAACTGTTAAAATGACAGAATATTTGCATTCAGTTTATTAACCCAGATGTGGGCTACTTAGTGACTGAGGATTGAAATCTGTAGGGAAGAACTTGCAATGGTTCTAGTCAGGATATGGTTGTTTTAAGACATTCTGATTTTTCCTGTTTATCCCTAGGTGAAAATAAACTGATAGGGGATCTCTTAGTACTGGGCGGAGCAACACTATACGGCATCTCCAACGTCTGTGAGGAGTATATTGTCCGAAATCTGAGTCGAGTGGAATTCCTGGGTATGATCGGACTCTTTGGCTCCTTCTTCAGTGGAATTCAGCTGTAAGTGAGCAGGTTTGAGCTCCAAGGTCATTCAAATAAGTGCAGCTGTGGCCTCCACTGAGATACTCTAACCACTTCTTCAAAGGTAGCCGTTTCCTGTGCGGAGTAGGTGTTCCCTAATTCTGGAATTTGCATTGGTTTTCATATTTCAAATCAATGGACTTGAATAATAACACGAATTTGCACCTAAGTACTCTAGTTAAGGGACTGGTGTCCTTTAGAAGTCACGTGGGGAGGGAGAAGACACATCCTACCATCTTGTTGATGGAAGACAAGCAGATACTTCATGTGTTGATTTCATCAATAACAAAATAACAAAATCTACAACTTCCTCTAGTTCTGCTTTGTATTTTAAAAGTCACTTAGATTTCTAAACAGATTGTGAACATATCCAGTCAGAAGGTATTTTACTTGTTGGCTCATTCTGTGTAACTACACTATGATACGGAAGAAATAACGAAAAAGCCTTTAAGAAATTGGCTTCTTCACTTCAAAATATTTAGTACTCAGGTGATTGTTGCATGGATCTGCTGAGTCCTGTCTGTATCCACATGCACCTAATGAGCATCTCACCTACAAGTTTAATATTTGGAGGTGGCTTCCAGTGTTGCAGTACTGTGACTCATGTAAAAGTAAGCAAGATTGCTGCATTTTAAGCAGGTGTGTCACTGGTGCTTGTCACACAGATGACTTTTGATTATTAGTCAAAAACAAATTGCTTCCCTACACCTCTGAGCTACTCAGCTTCTAAGAACAGAGGCAGATGGAAAAAAAGGACCCATCAATTCCCACCTAATTACTTCCATTTCATTAGCTAGAAAGCTTAATATATTTATGTGGGATCTGAACAAGTGTCTTAAAATTATTTATATTAACTAGCTGCCATAGAACCAGTTCTCTTTTTAAAAATATAGCATGTAAGAGCACATAAATGTGTCTAGCTCCTTTGGCTAAAGCATTCTTTTATGTGTTTGTGATAAGTAGATACTAACTGATTCTGAGGGCATCAAAGCAGTGCCCTTGTCTTGCTCTGTATGTGTAAACTGTCATGTACATGTCTCATATTCCTGAATTTAATCATAGTACCATTACTCCCTCTTGACCCAAGCGGTTAGTCACAATTCAGGGTCTGTGAGCTGTTTTGCTGGGGAGAAGTTGGTGCTGGAACAAGGCATCTTTGTATACAGAAAACACAACTGGAAAGAAAAAATAAAAAATCATTTTGTTGCTGAAAGCCCTAAGGTTATTTTCTGTTCAATCCTTGGCCCAAGAGTTCTCACCACTGGCCTCTGCAGCTTTTTGCTGCTAGTGCTTTTGTGGCACTTTCTGGAGATGCAACCACACTTGGCTTATATGTGTACCTTTTTCTTACCTTTACCTGTAATGAATAGTGGAAATCACACAGTTATGTGTTCACACAGGTTTAATCTAACTAAATATGCCAGTTATTTCAAAGAGAAGACAGCTTCTCATGTTAAAATTGCAGATTCTTTCTGTGAAACACTACTGGCCACTTCGGTGGCCAGTAGTGCAAGACCTTTAGATCCTATAAACTGAATTAGTCTGGGAAAGGAGTGTCTCAGGAATTGGGCCATTTCCCAGCATGCTACATACAGCATGGTCAAAGTTTGGTTGGCATCCAGAAAGTGGATTGAGGATGGGAAACATGTGCTAATACCTCTGGAGATGTAAATCTCATGTTTGTAGGTTTTACAGGGAATAGTACAATTCTGAAGAAGAGAAGGTGTCAGAAAGTATATGGGATTGTGGTGAATATAGGAAAGACAAAACCCTACCCACAAGTGAATGTCCCTTTTATTGACATGCATTTATCTCAAGATAATATAGGAGCAAAAGCTGTGGTACCTGCCTTTTATTCTGTGTGTATTTACAAATATCTTCATAAGTGTAGGTGACTCATGCTAGTTCATGCTTCAGCTGTACTACAGGGCTATGTCACCAAGAGGACTTTAAGGAGGTAGGCTCTTGTTTTCTAGAACAGTTTTGCAAAACTGCTTAATGTTACACTGTAACATAATATAAACATATATAATGCCTGTTTTGCAACAAATGAAGGACTAAGGTATCTGGACAAAGAGTGAATTAAAGAGTTGGCTAATTACCCAGGCATGTTAGAAAGAGAAGTTCAGTATGTTGAATGTGATTAAGAAGAGAGGAATTATGTATCAAAAGAAGAGATTAGTTGATAGGATTTGGGGATATCACAACTACCCAGCAAATGGAGATAAGGCTGTCCAGTGGAATCACATAATCATAACCTACTTTATAATGGACCCCTGAAGGTCATCTGGTTCAAGCTCCTACTCAAAGCTAACTTCAAAGTTATGCCAAGTTTCTTAGAAACTTATACAGTTGATTTCTTAATGTCTCCAAGAATGGCAGTGCCAGTCATGCTGGGCAACCTGTTCCAGTGTTTGACTAATTTTTTTCCTCTGATATTTATTCAGAGATTTCCACATTGCAACTTGTGTCCATTGTCATTTATCCTTCTGTTGTGCACCTCCAAGTATGACTATCTTTTTGTAGCTACCCATTAAGTAGTTAAGATGGAAAATTTATTGTCCCGTCCTTCTTTCCCCCAGCTTAGCCTTTTCTTCCTCATACTAAAGAAACCATGCTGTTTCAGCATCTCCTCTTACACCGTGTGCTCAAGCTGCCTGCCATTGTGATGGAGTTCCACTGTACTCCCTTCAATTTGTTAACATCTGTCTTGTTCTGGACAGCCCAAAACGGGATACAGTATTCTAGTTGCTGTCTTGAAAATCACATCCTTCAACTTGCTGGCCAGACTTCTACTAACACAGCTGAGGAGGCTGTTGGCCTACTCTGCTCCAGGGACACATTGCTGACTTACCTTCATGTTGATGGCCACAGGACTCTAAGGTTTATTTCTGAAAAGCAACTTTCCATCCAGTCAGCTCCCAGCCTGTCCTGTTGCATAGTGTCATTCCACCCCAGGTACAGGAATTCACCTTTCTTTTCTTGAACTTCATGAGTTTTCATTTGGCCCTTTTCTTCAGACTACATTGTGGGTATTCTGCCCATCCAGTCCATACCTCTTCAATCTCTAGGGATCTTTAGGGAAATTATGTGGAAGCTTTGCTAACTTCACAGTAGGTTACACCACATCCTCTCATCCATTCCCTCTCCTTTATTTACTGATCCACTCATCTCATCATAGAAGGTGGTCAGTTTGGTCAGGTATGATTTGCTTTTGAGAAGTCTGTGCTGGCTGTTTTCAGTGGTGTCTTCTTCATTTTCTGTGAATGGTTTCTGGGAAGATTTGCTCCGTAGTCTTCCCAAAGGTTAACATAAGGCTGGCCAGACTATAGTTTTTGCTCTGTTTTAAACTGGATTTTGCATTTGTCTCTTTTCAGTCATCAGGGACCTCCTTCAGTCACCACAACCTTTCAAAAATCATTGTTATTCCAATTCTTCAGTGCCTCTGGCATCACTAAATGGCCACTTCTGGCAAAGTTGCTCTTACCCCTCTTTGTTTCACAGATCACAATGACTCACAAGCCATAACATATTGCTTTATACTCTTTTGTATTGAATAAGCAATAGTATGAAAGCAATGTTCCTGTGTTTAAGATATATCAGTTTGTTTGCCAGACCAAGAGACATTGCAGTTTGTTCTAATTGTATTCTTCAGGAATTGCTGATAAAAGGGACATATGTCTTATGCACGCAAAGACACTTATAATTTAGTTATTTTGCAGACAAAATAGTCTTATTATTCTGTACACAGTATTAGATTTGCCACACATCAGCAGCAAGCAAATTAGAATTTCCAGGATGCAACTCTCTAGACTAGATTAATCTGGAAGGTGCTGAGTTCCTGCAGTTTTACTATTAGGCTTGGTCTTCCACATGCCAACTTTTGTACTAAGTACTTTGTTTGTCAATCTGTGTAATTCCATGTTTTATACTTGCTTAAAATAGTACCCAGACCAGCAGAGTCCTGCACAGCAGGATTTATCTGGAAATCACAGATCATAGAAAATGGTTACCTGACTTAACTTGTGAGATATCTCCAAGGATCTGTTTGCCTGGATTGGGAAGAGCTGACTTGTTGCCACATTAGAATTTTATGGATCTGGGATTTTGATTTTTATGTACAGTGCAAGATTTACAAGATATTGAACTTTTGCAGGTTTACCCATCCTTTGCTTTGTTTCCTGACTTTCTTTGCTGTGACTATTTGATTTCTCTCAGGGTATAACAAATTACGGTATGCTTTCCAAAGCCAGCCTGTGGTATCTATTTATTTTACACTGCAGAGCTGCTCTGAGGTGTGAATAACTCAGATAGGTACATAATTAATCATTAAAGTTCAAAAGCTTTCAGAATATTAAGTCAGAAGAGTACAAGAGGATTGAGCATTTGTGGGGATGGGCATATAGAGCACGTATATATAGAGCTGCAAATAAACCAGTGGAAATTGTATGCTATCACATCTGATTACTGCCCTGAAGATCTTTCAAATACACACGCACAAGGATGATGCCAGAGTGGATTAGCAAAGTCTGATTGCATTTGGTTCCTACAGAGATTTTTTTGTTAAAAGGTTATTTATGTTTTGTCCAGCATTTGAATTGAATGAGTGGAAGTAATTTAACTTTTGTTCTTCTTCCATCAAATTTTGCCTTCTCTTCTCTTCTAGTGCAATCATGGAACACAAAGAGCTGTTGAAAGTTCCCTGGGATTGGCAAATAGGTAAGAAAACACTTTATCTCATTGAAGGTAGTTACTGAAGGAGGCATGGAGCCAACCAGTGTTTGGGGAGGCGGGCATGAAGTTTCAGAGGAGCCAATGTTTGTGACTTCTCCACCAGTTACTACCAAAGGTTGAACCACGTGCCTCATGACCATTCTTGAATGATCTGTCCTCCCATTGCTGTATTATGCCTTCCTTGCACCATTTGGTTAAGCATATGAATGCTGTAAGATAATTATTCAGACAGTCATGAAGTAAAACAATAATGGGGTTCCAGTTCTAAGATTCAATGCAACACTGGGACAAATAAATGAGGTAGTCAGTAAGAGCCAAACCTTTTCAGTGAATGCCAAAGAAAGAAAATGGAACCCAACAAAAAAACCCTAAAATGTACTCACAGTGCATATTATAACCTCATAAACTCATTTCCAAGGGGAGCATTTCTGTATGGCAATGGTTAATTGCTTTCCAAATAGTCTTAGTGGAATATAGCAGATGTGTCCTTTAGACAAATTTAGAGAGTATCGTGCCCAATGAAGCTGTTATGATGTTCTGCTAAGCAGTGGATTGTGTTTTTTTCATTTCCATTTGGAGGCTGAGTTTATTATCTAAGACTCCCTTCTAATTAGTCCAATGAATTATTTGCTTTAAAAGCAAATCAATATTTAGGAGAGTCCCTGTAATCACTCTTTCACTTTTTATGCACAATAGAAGAAATAAAAGAATACTAGTACTGTAGGGCTGACTGATAGCAGGAGGTTCAAGCTTTGGCAATCCACTGACAATAGCTTATTACCTAGTTTCAGACTGAACTTCAAAATGACAATTCAGAAGAGTGCAAAAGAAACTGGTTATGTGTATCCCCTGAAAAGAGGGGATACAAGTTACGGAACACAGTTGTTTTCTTCAAACTTAGTTAACAATTTCCTCTCATCACCATAAGCCGTAATATAAACAGTGCATCTTTCACAAAATACTGCACATAAAAGTTGTGGAAATTTGGTGGTTGAACTGTAAAACTAAGTGACAAATCAATTTAAAGTATCCATGGAGAAACACACACAATTGTGTACTTTGAGTGTATTGGCCTTCTTTAATCTGAAATAATTAGCATAATTGCATCAGTGTTTGTTTATATTTCATGATGAGGAGCTCAGGGACATAATTAATCTGGTACTGATGGAATTAACAGTGGTCACAGTGAATTTATCTACTATCCATGTAAATGTCATATATACTTCCAGGAGAGTTCTGTTCTAACTCAATATCAGTGAAATGTGCTATTAAAATAAGGTCTTACTTCATCTGTGATGCCATTAAAATGTCATTGAAAGTTAGTCACTAAATCTGAAGAGTCCTTATGCTTCAAAAGGCTGAGATCATCTTAGCAAAAGCATCATACGTATGTACTTGTTTTGTTACAGCAATAATTGGAAATGCTGCGTAGTTGAACATGGATTAAATAGTGACAGTTCTGTGTAGTTCTGTGCTATTCCCTGACTTCCCCTGCACTCAGTGTACTTTCCAGTGCATTGGCAATGATACAAGATTGTCAAGTAGTGATTGACAAAATCTGTGTCAGGGAGTTCACAGCCTTGTCCTGAGTAGTTATCCACTGCGACAGACTCAAATCTGCAGTCCAGCAGAGTTAAATCATCAGCCTTCTGAATGGTGGTGATAAAGTCACAGCAGGCAACCTAATAAATAACTCAAGGTGGCCTGTTGCCATCTACCGTAATTGTGCTTTTAAGAATGGATGAGCTGCCTTTCAACTGATGCAAATGATTTTTGAATATAAAGATCTAAAGCAAATCTGTTATGTCTATCATGTTTAAAACAGGCTGTGGTCCTCCTGGTTTTCGTTTTGGAAATTCCTCTGATGAATATCATCATCTTCACACCTAGTATGAATCAGTGAAACTCTGTTTGAATCCTTGAAGGTTTAAGTATTAATATTTGCTGACAACCTGAGTTAAAGGAGAATGATTATACTGTTCTGACTGAGTGGTTTCATATGAGACCATGACATATCTTGTAGTGATAGATGAAATAGTAACAAATAAACTCACATCAGTTTTATATAAAAGCCAGTTTGAATCTCTAAGGAAGTACCCTTTGTTACAGGGGGTTTGAATATTTCTGAATGGTCTTTATTCCAAGACACTAGGAAAAATCATAACTGATTCAATTTCATACCAATTAAATGGTTGCTTTTGGAGTAAAAATGCAAAGGCAATACTCATACATCATTGCACCATGCAACATTCAACCAGCATGCTCAGGAACTAAACCAGAAGTTCTTAAGGCATGTTACTCTTGGTAGTACTTTGGCTACTTTAGAATAGTGCCTGGGGGCAGATCCTGCCCATCTGTGTGAAGATACCTAGTCTTAAGGGAAATGGAGAAATACTGAGAGACTGGGGCTTGTTCGGCCTGTGGAAGAGAACTTACCTACAAGGAAGTTATCAAAAGAACTGAGCCAATGTCTTCACAGCAGTGCATGGCAGGAGGATGAGAGACAACAGACAGAAGCTGAAATGAGAAATTCAGACTGGATAAAAAGAAAATCTTCTTCACATTGAGGACAGGCAGGCAGCAGAGCAGGTTGCCCAGAGGGGCTCTGCAGTCTTCATCCTCAGAGTCTTCAAGCCCAGGCTGGGCAAAATCCTGAGAAATACAGTCTGATCTCACAGCTGAGCCTGGTTTGATCAGGGTTTGAACCAGAGAGCTCAGAGCTCCCTTCTGTCCTGAATCAGCCTATGATCCTATCATCCCAAGTGCCTAGTTCAGACAGTTATGAGAAATTCACACCCAACCAGGCAAAACTGTTGACCTTACCCGTCAGGGTGAACACAGACAGATAAGATGGGATCCCTTCCACCAACTTTAGATACCTGCGATGTAAACTTTGGATTTAGTTACATAGACTCCCTTTACCATCCGCAACAATAAACAGGCATGATACGAGTCATACTGTTGGTGTCTAAAAGAGGCTGAACAATCTGCACTCTAAATTTTCCCAGTCTCTTCACTGACCACCAGCCCTCAGTATATGTCCAGAGTTAGGTGTAATGAATCCCACCCACATGTGCCTTCAGTTCAGAACAATGCTAGCACACCCGAAAGAAGACAGTTCCAAATTATGAACTTCTCAGGGTTTAACACAGACTGGCTGATAAGCAGATCATTACAAAAGCACCTCCTAACTTGCCAGGTTGCTTCCTTCCGGGGCCTGCTACAGGCAATTGGTGCCAGTGACTTAGTGCCTGGTTAGACATAGTTCCAAATGCCCTGGGACTGCAATACTAGAGTCATTCCCAAGGCTCCCATTTGCACTGCATGGGTACCTAAGGAGGCTGAAGCTTCAAACCTTTGACTTAAAACATATTTTTAGTTTGAAAATTGGTCTTCTGAAAGGCAGTATCTGAAAATTATATGATCTTATTTCCAGTTTGCTCCTTGTCGCCACTAAATGCCACCCAGTTGGTGGATATTACATGTATTTTTTAAGCTGTAAATGAAAGGCCACTTTATATTTACCTCTGATAGAATAGCTACAGTGTAAGCAATTTTCCACTGGAACTTAAATGCCCTTTGGAAAAGCAACCTGTGAAGTACAGGTAGTTGACTGTCAAATAATGTGGACATCAAGGCAGTACCATAAAATTATACTGTTCGTTGCATGCATAAGCCAGTAAAGCACCTGAATATGCATATTAAATCCAGACTGACTACTGGAGGCTTGGTGGACCAGTTGGTGATTTGCAGACTGTACTTTGACAATGCTGACTTCAGGTCCAGAATAGCTTTTGTTCCTGGAAGAAAAGCTGACTTAATGGTCCTATATGCAAACAATTTCCCATTGACCAAAGCTATGCTCCATTTGATGCATTTGCCTACTACAGAAGAGTTGCAGATTTTGCATAAAGCAGCTGACTTAATTATGTTTGTTACCGCTATACAGTACACACCTTAGAAATTTGCTACCTATTTGTAATGTTGTTACCATGATTGTCCATATTCTGAATGCAAACACAAATTCATTATCATGCCATAGCACCTATGGACACTGATAGTTCATGACTGCTGTATTTGTTTCAGTTGAATGCACATTTCCATTTAGATGCTTCTCAGGGAGTCAATTTTGTCCTTTGATAGCTTTTTTAAAGAGTTTTTAACTAAGTGGGTCCACATTCAGATACAAATTATATGGGCTTTTTTTCCCCCTTTCAGGACTTTGGCAATCAGATTTTCACAACTTTTAGTAAAAAACAACATTTTCTGAAGAGCTGGCATGAGTCTAAATTTAGGCTTGTGCACATATCAACTGGGAATTCTACAGCATACAGCAGTCTAAGAAGTATCATTTGCATGAGAGCAGATGAATAAAGTGTTTACTGTTTTTTTAACTTCATATTGATTAATTTGCCTTGGGATTTATCAAGTAATAACTGAAGCAATGAATTCTTTCCCAGTAAGTCATTTAGGATTTTAATTAATTTAGATTTTTACTGTAATGTATTTTTATTATATTAGTGTCTAACAATCTAATTTGTGTGAGGCACTCTGTAAAAATGTAGCAGGAAAGAGTCTCAGCTCTGGAAATTTTTATTAAGGAAGGCAGACAAAAAACAGTAGAGGAACAGAGATGCAAAATGATGAAGTGATGAGTCAGTTCTGGTGGCAAAATAGGACTAAGACCTCTGACAATAACCCTAACCCTCATGCGTTCATCCATTTGCTCATTCACTCCTCTGCAAATAATTTTGCATTCAGTTTTTGGGTTCATTCCCAAAAAATATTGGGTGCTCCATCCAACTCAGCTGAATTCAGTGCTGGGGACATTCAGCTCCTTAGGAGACTAGATTTGATATGTCTAAATGGATCATTTTGTTCAAATTTATGTTGGACTTGAGGTAGTCACTATTACTGCAAGGCATTAATTTAAAACAACACTGCTGTTACGGAGACCACAAAGGACCTCATGTCCTCTGCTGATATGATTTTCACTCTCTGTACATGTGTATCTTATTAATTTGAATGTTTCTTTGAAAAAGCATTATTCCTCCTTTCCTAAAAAACACAGCTTTCTTCCTCCAAACACGAGTCATTTCTGCAGGCTGTGAAAGATCACTTTGCTTCTCGTTTCTTTTCTGCAGGCTTGCTGTATGTTGGCTTTAGCGCCTGTATGTTTGGCCTCTACAGCTTCATGCCAGTGGTCATAAAGAAAACCAGTGCTACTGCCGTCAATCTCTCCCTACTCACAGCTGACCTGTACAGCCTGTTCTGTGGATTATTCCTCTTCCACTACAAGGTATGTGGAAATGAGATGTGTATTTGGGTAATAGCAGTATGCATGAAGAAACATCAATGCGAAACAAGGAAACAAAAGAAGCCTCCAAGCTTTGCTAGATCTAAGCAGTAAAAGTGCAGTTGATTTTTCTACTTCAGTCTTCCCACACCAAAACGAATTTTATTTTATGATTACGGTTTTTAAAGAGAACTCACTTGGTCTTTTTGTTACAAGTTTTGAGTACCTGTTCATCAGCCACTGTGTCATTCATTTCTTCTTACTTATCTTATTTATCAGTTGCTGTGAACAGACCTAAGGTAGCAGCACAAAGAGAAGGACTCTTCCAAAATTCCCATAGATATTTTTTTTTTTGCCTGGGAACAAGATTGTTTCATTCGTGCTGATTCTGAATTTATAACTAAATTGTTCATAAATTACCCCTTTCTTGTCACCCAAACCAATGACTTGCCTGTTATTGTAAATGCAAAATGTGCAGCAGATTTATGTTGAAGTTAAACTTTGACCTCTCAGGTCCTCTAATATTCAAAATACCCTATTGTACAGGACCCATTCGACCTTCAGTTACAAGGAATGGCACTTCATTATTCACAAGTATCCCCCACAGTGCTCATCACATGAAAATAACATTGGGGTGCTGGAAGGGATTGCTTTGTACCATCATTTATTCATACGAGAGAGATTACTTGATAGATAAAATTGTAGGCCAGAGAAGTGTTAGGTAAACAAAAGCCTTAAAATTCTGAGTATCTAACAAACTCAAATCACCTTCTGTGATACTAATGGTAACTCAATGAATCTGAGTGACAGTGAAAGTTCAGAGCTTCAGAGTCCAACACAAAATTGTTTTTCACTATTGTCTTTTATTTTGGTTTTACAGTTTCAAGAATTTTGCAGGGAGAAGAAAAGCAAAAATAGAAACAAAAAAATGACCGAAAACACAATGTAGAGGTTGTCTGCTGCTTTACAGCTCTGTCTCATGATGATTTAGTTTCTCGTCTTTCTGCCTCACGCTTCAAACCCAAAGTGTTATGTATAAGCTGAAAATTGTTATCTCCCATGAATAGCATTATTTGATACCCACAGACAAATACATTTAGTTGTGTTAGTCCACTGTTTCTAAGAAAAATTATTATATTACACAGTAAAAGACAGACAAATTTAATTCTGAAAACAGTGGTGGTGGTGTACTAACAAAATCAAGCTTGGTTAGAAGGAGAGACTCAAAAGGCAGCAGAGATTGGACAACTTCGTGCTCAGCATTGCTTGAACCTAACAAAAAAGGCAATTTTGCAAACAGAGACTTAAAGTTCAGGCATTTGAAAGGCAAACGGTGCATAGAAGGTTTCAGTTTTTCCCTGTGCCTAATTGTTGGGTACATTTGCAGAGTCAGAAAGGCAGAATTTTCAACCTTATTGGCCCCTATCTTTCTACAGTAAGTACATGTCAGCCCTCGATCACAGTGGCACCTCAGTCTCCCTTTAAGACCTCTACTGAAAAAGTGCTAAAGAGAAGACTCAGAATGGGAAGGTTTTCTGGTTGAAAGCATCGTCTCAACATATGTCCTGATAAACTGGTTGACTTCCACATCTAAAGTAACTGGTGATGCCCTCTGCCCCTTACTCCTCTGATTAGAAAACTGAAAATCTCATTCTCCTATGGTGAATGTATGTATGTCATCTTCCTAAACTCTTACCAGACTCGTAATTAAACCTATTTAGATTTTTTTTTTTTTATCTCCACTGCTGTCTTTGGGAGACTGTTTTAGAACATCATTTTTCCAACAGTTACAAACCTTATTTCCAGCATAAATTTACTTGTGACCGGTTTTGGGCCATTCTTTCTGCTGAGAGTATCCATTAACATGAAGAATGCCTGTCTCCCTAGCATTTTAGTCCACTGGTGCATCAACAGAGAGCAATCATATTGTCTCTCAGCCCCTAGTTCACAAATCAGAGCAAGCCCTTGTCTGCTGCACCTCATCTGGTTGGGTTTCATCCTCCCTGAATCAGTCCCTGCAGCTCAAGGTCCTGGTCCCTCCAGCACCTGGTGCAATGCTTTTGTCTCTGTTTCTCTAGGAAGCCAGTTACTTCATAGAAAATAAACCTGTATTTACATTTTTCATCACTGCATTTCTTTTGTGATTTGTACTCATTCTGCAGGCCATACAACTCACATGTGTCTCTCCTTTGTTCTTCCCAGATGAAGTGTTGATAAGGATAAGACCTTTGTCAGGACTTTGTGGAAAGGTCTTTACCTGAAACCTGAGCTGTCAGTATCTCCTTTCATACCCTTCCAATTTGCATTGCAGAAGAAATTGGGAGAGGCTATATTCACAGATTATCTAGATTTAAAACTCCATCTAATTATTCGGTTTCTTCTTTAGTTATCATGTTTTTATCCTTATTTAGATGACCTCCTCCTTTTCTTTCTGGTTTACTATCAGGTAGCCTTTTATCTGAGGAAGCAGAACTATGAAATGAGCAACTTCCAGTCAATAATGAAGTCTAATATGTTGACATTAAATGATCTAAATTAATTCCTCTCCTAGGACTGTGTACACTTGCTTGTTTTCTAGCTTTTAAAAAGCTGTTTCATTCCTAGCCCAGCTGTACATCTCTTCCAGATATGCAGCTCCTTCTGGTTATTACTGCACTGGCCAATGAGCACAGCCCCACTTCACTGGGAAGCAAATGGGTTTATGCTGAACTAGGATCAACTGAGTGGTTTAGTGCCCCTTGCAGAATATAATTTTATGAGGCTTTCAAGAAACAGTTATGATTTTTCCTTGTGCTGCTACTTTTATCACCAGACAAGTTTATTGCACCTATAGCAGTAAATCTATGAAAATCCATGGAAAATGCAGGAAATGAGTTTAACTGGGCTTTGGAGCCTCTGAAACCAAACTGAGAAGAAGATTGCCTTTGAAGTGTTTTGATTCATTAGTATTTCGTTTTTATATAATACAGAGACCTGCAATATCATTACATGCAGGATAGTGAGTTTATAAACAGCTGCATCTCTAGTCTTATGCCACAGGCAGACAACTTCATAGCACATTGAACAGTTCCTGGGCCCATGGAAATTAGAAATACAGCATGTTAACTGGACACAGCTCTGGTGATATACTTGTAATTCAAGATGTTAATTGTTCAAGGTGTTATTGTTTTAAAATGTAATGACATATCAATTTGAGACAGATGACTAGATTGTAATGCATCATTTTTAAAATAATCTGCAGTGCCCAAATAAAAGCTGTCTTTTTAGTTCTTCTGTAATCAATAATTGATTCCAAATATTCCAATGGATAGGGAAATGTTTGGCCTCTTTGGTGGCTGAATGTCAACCGCTGCCATAGCATATAAGTATGCAACTCCATATCTTCAATACTTTTTTTTTAAATTCTCACCATATTGATATGTTTTATACAATTTTTATGTTGTAAACTTTCCTAGCTATCTGTTCTCATTTCTCCTTCTTCTTAAGCACAAGTAACAGGACTGTCCTTCCCCTGTCAGAGACTGCAATAGTTGTTCTTTGTCATGGATACATGGACACCAGTGCTGGGAAATTCAGGGCCAGCTCTCCGGGTGTACAGAGTTGGAACTTCTGTAAAAATACAGGGGGTATTTTTGCTTAGGAGTATTCTTTTTTACATTTTAGTCTCAGCCTCAGCTTTATTGTTATGTGAACTTTTAGAATTCACACTTTTTCTTTGCAAGCTATATGGTGTCTTTCGTTGTTCTGAGCACATTGGGTTCTCACTGAATAATCTAAGTTTATTTTCCACCAGCTAGAACATGCATACACAGATTGTGTTCTGGACCAGTAGGTCAAGTCACACTGCGTTATATCATTACCTAGCAAGGCAAGCACAGTCAATTATATTATGCCTTGGCAAATTCATTCATTATTTTATCCGAGATACAGCTATAAAAATTCAGAATTTCTGGATGTATCAGCAATTCCCAAATGAAGAAAATGCATGTATTTCATAAATAAATCAGGGAATATATCTTGATTTAGAATCTTGGAGAGTATCTATGTCAAAGGACTTGGATACACAGATAAACATGATACTCAAAACCTTTCAGGACCAGAAATCTGAAATGATGCTAGTTGAAACCTCATTTGCTGATACTCAGTGATGCTTCTAAAAATTACATTTCAATGCCAATTCTAACAGCATACCTTCAGTGGAAGGGAGCAGATGACAGCCTTCCCATCACATCAAGAAACAAGCCATGAAGGAGACTGGGTTTTAATGTAATGGAGAAGAGAGGGTACAGAGTTTGGCCGAAGTAGGTTCCAGGTTCTTTTTTTACCAGCAATGCCTATGAATTGGGGATTTACATAATTGTTACTGTGGTGAAAATTTGACCCTTGCTGGAAACAAAGGAGAATAATTAGGAGCCTCTGTTAAAAGCATGTGCTTTGCCATCCTGATCCAAACCACGGAAGGCAGTGTGAGCTTTTCTGCGGTCTTCGGTGTTCAGTGGGCTTCAGCTCATTTCCCTAAATTAGGAAAGCCTGCCACTCGAGAAAAAACTTTTTAAAAATTCACAGTTTCATGACTGTGCAAATTAAACTCTTGCCTTATTGTGACTCTCTATGCTGCAGACAGCACTGGGTTCTGTTAGAGAAGGATGGATTCAATGTCTGTGCTTAGGGAGCAGGAGTTAAATAAAATTGGTTTGGTGTGGGGGAGGATTGTTTGTTTATTAGTTTGATTTTTCTTTGGCAGACGTCCATAAGCATCTGAGAGACTTTTCCCAAAGATCTGACCAAACTGAGAAAATACTTCCAATTATGTTCTCACTTTTTTTAAAAAACTTCCCTTCAAGTCTAAGCTGAAGTCAGTAAGATCTTTTTCTTCGCTTGCACTTGGTCGGGTACTGACACCTACCTATTTTAAACTTCGACGGTGAAGTTGTCAGTGGTGCATCTTTATTTCTAGTAGAGCAGGCTAAGCAACTATTTTTTACACTCTTACTTCCTCAGTC